ATTAGTTTCAACAAAATCAGTAATGGTACTCTCGTGTCACTGGATTTTCTGGTTCATCGATCACTTGATTGACTGGTTTGTTTACAGGCTTCATCGCATGGCAGGCGTACTGCTGTGCTGCGTCAGGCAATAAATACAAACCTTTTTACGCAAATTGTATGAATGGCGGGTGCTACCGATGGGGCAAGACATGATGGCCATGATCGCGAACACCAGGTGTCATCATTGATTTGCAGTGGTCTATTCATATCATTTCTACAGCTATTTGCCCTCTACGTCAAGTGGAATATGCTTCGGCAGAAAATCTAGACTTGCCTTAACAATTTATATTTAGTCATGTAAAAACTGTATGGAAAAAACCTTGACGTTCTGATTTTTGTTCCTTCTGAATTTGGTGATAATTAGAGTCGAAGGATCCGGAAACGAAGCACAACAATGTGAGGCCAAAGTAGTTGTCTCTTATATTTAGTCCAGACAGTGTAATTAGTGTCCTGTGTGAAACTGAGACACTATCTCTGGGTTACCGAGGAATCATTAACTGTGGTTGGTTGGTTTGTTGTTTAACGCCGCACTCAGCAATATTACAGCTATATGACGGCTGTCTGTAAAATAATCGAGTCTGGACCAGACAATCCAGTGATTGACAACATGAGCATCGATCCAAGCAATTGGGACCGATGACATGCACCAACCAAGTCACCGAGCCTGACCACCCGATCCTGTTAGTCGCCTTTTACGAAAAGCATAGTCGCTTTTTATGGCAAGCATGGGTTGCTGAAGACCTATTCTACCCCGGCTCTTCACGGGTTCATTAACTGTGGACTGATATTATACTATAATTGGAATTGGACTATAGTGGTGGTTTAATTACTTGAATCAAACTTGCTCAGACTTCCAACTAACCCCAGCCTGATCCCCCTTGAATGCCCTGGCTCTGCTCGCCGACAACCACTGTTCCACAATAATCAAATACTAGAGAATTCCTCAGGCTTTTTAGTGGGATAAGGCGATATAAAACCTGATTCACTCTATCATTCAATTTGATAAGGAATTATAACAGTAAATCACGTGAGAGCTTAATTGTATAACTAAGGGTGTACAACGAATAAACATGCGTGTACCATATAGTCAAATATTTATTTTGCAATCTCCTCTAAGATGAGACGAGTATCCATTTCTGATCCTTCACTTCATAATGTTCAAAATGTTCAAAAGCACAAACGTATATTTCAAAGCATGTGTCAAAATAAAAACAAAACTCAAACAAATTGTGCAACATTTCATTATTTTTGTAAACTGTTCAGACATCACTTGATTAGAAATATCCCGGGACTCCGGAAAGACAGCCTTGCTGTGGTTATCGTTCTGGTGAATTAAATCAGCCGAGCTGTTTTATTCTGTATGGGGCACGAGGTTCGATGTCCGTGTTATTCTAGCACATTAGGCAGACTGTTGTATGTGGCATTAATATTGCCTGGTCAATGTGAAACCGAATATACGCGGTTGTCGTCACTTTCAGACAACCATAAAGTATACAGTTATACTGTATTTTCTTCCCGAATGTAGAACGAGAAAGCCATCGATGGTTGAAGGAAATGAGTGATTCAGTGTGTCATATCTGACAATCGTTTATATTTTATGACTTGCCAACTAAATGTGTTACTTAAGAAATGGTTCCTTTAATCTCCACATTTAGGTCAGCTTTCCTACAACGATGTTTCAAATTTAAATCCTTCTAAAAGGGTCCGAACAATCGGCGACATGACATTAAATAATGTCACTTAAGATATTTCGTCTACGTAAGAAAATATTTCCATTTTGGAACTTGAACGCTCCCAATTGCCCCATCGTAGTCACAATAAATCGGGCATTGCTACTAACGCAGGTCCACAAGGATGAAACGAGTTAATTCCAGAGTTGTCTGTCCCTGGAAGCGGAATGGTGAAAAGTAATTACTTTGTATGACAAGTGGACTTATTAATAAGTTGGTTCTAGGTTGAAGGGCCGCTTGACACCATTGGGTATAAATGATTTCCTGGACGGAGTAACACTGTTCCTCTCTGGCCACGTCTCAAGTGAAATAAGTTGAGTGCAACTACAACAGACTATAGTCTGTTCTACAACGTCCAGAGGAATATATAGCTATTCGTATGAATACTTTGAAGCCGTATCAAATGCAGCTTATCCATGTACGTATTAATTAACACGCATTGACATGTATCGCAAATATGCTTTTCAAAACCGATTATCCCTTCTCGTTCTGGAAGCATCAGCTTCGTGCAATCTACTTGATGAAAGTGGTAACATATGGTTAAGAAGCAGAAACAAGGTGATAACGTACCTTATTGCCATTCCTTCGCTTCGCCTATGAGGTGATGCACTAATATATTGTTATCCAAAATTGGCTTCCAGAGGACATATCGTTTAGGTTGAATAAGCGACATCTCCTGAAGATGTCGATGCAATAAAACTGCTGCACAATGCTTTGCATGCCATTCGAATACCATGACGTTACAGTCAAATCACATCACTCATCTGCCTGCCACTGAAGCTGGTTATCTGTACATTTTACACTGCTTATTAATGATTAAGAACTAAAATAGTTGGACGAATTATTTTTGTTGGTAAATATAATCTTACCTTCGTGTCTGTTATCAAATATATCAACATTCGTCGATAAAATCAGGTTTGTAACTACAAGCAACTTTTATAAGTTTTTTCGCAACATGAATACATGTACTTGCCATCTCAACCGGCATCAACTGGTACTGGTGATGTGGTTGCTTAAGAGAGGCTATCAGACTCTAGAAGCCTATAATAGCATTACCTCCCGTCGTCAAAAACTATGCTGTTATAAATGGTATCGAAACTTGTTTACGCACTGTAAAAGAACATTGCTATTTTTAATCAATCTAATTATTCCCGATACTAATTGACCTGACAATAAAAAAAATCAATTATCAATCATAAATATATGCAGTTATATAGATTTTGGTAAACCTCGCATAATAATTTAAATCTCATGATAGATCAAATTCATAGTATAATAAATAAATAAACATTAATACTCCTTGATGGTATAACCACACAGAGGAGACGTACGAAATGAACCTTGGAAGGGGTATAGATATATGACAGAGTAGAGGAGGAACGATTGATAATATAGATCTTTCACACAGCACGACGCGCACGTCAGTGCAAGCAAGAAGAATAACTACCTTTTCATCCTATACCAAGGTACATGTCCACCGAAAATCATTTTCACGTTTTACGATTCTCTGTATCTAGTTGTAAAGAAGGCTATCGCTAGGGGGCTGGGTGAAATTGCCTGTGTTATAGTGTGTCATTGGATTGTAATATAGCATGTCATTGACTGTCAACTACTTCGCGCCCGAGCCTACAATCAATACACCGTGCTAGGCTGCAGCATTGAAACCTAGACACGTTCTCGCCTCATGTCACGGGAAAATGAAATCATTGACAACAGTTGACGGGAACATTGTAGCCGACAATAGCCTCAGTAAAAGTGATTGGAAAGTCTGTAGTTAGCACAGAATTAGATAAATGACTCGCGGTGGTATGGAACTTTGAAATATTAAACTGAGCTTCTGACAAATAGAACATGCATTTTGAGTCTATTCTAAAAGCCTATCGCTATTTCATAAAAAGCTATTTTGATCTGGATATTGATTAACAGTCGTTCGTAATATTGTGGTTATAAACGTTCATACAGATTTGACAAATTGTGCGTTTCGTAGTCGGCCTTAATTGTAGCGGTATCTTCACGCTGGAACGTCAAAAAAAGGTCAGTTGGGTGTTTTGGGGTTATATAGCCCATTCATTAATAACGTTTTTTTAATTACTCATGAGGGTCAACCAACTGTAAATGGTCTTATTCACGCTATCTGAAATATGTTAGCTTACCAATGACTTGGGATATTTTCTCTGTTCATGCTGCATTCATACTCGGACATAAACTAGGGATATTAGACAATAATAGATGATTACAGAGGTACAAGAGGTATCGAGGGATGGTAATGGATAGATAAGAAAGGGGGTGACCAAGTGTTACATGTTGGCTGTATATTCTGGGGATGCAAACAACCAAGACAGACGAAAGGGGAGTAAAAATATGAACGTTTCAGATGACCAAAGCAACAATGGGTCATGTCACCGACGATTGGTCAAGTATTCGTGTATACAACATGGCTTGGTCCGAATCAATATCCCCGTGACAGTTTGAGGGAGTCTTGGCCACTCTCCTTGCAGCGCCTGGCCTGGTTCGGGTGGCCTTTGACGTCGGCGTATACGTCTCCCGATCACTTGTTCTACAGGGGAAGGTCAGGACTCGTGGCTGGCAAATACTATCTGTTGATGTTTTACTGCTGGGCGGATAGTCCCTTACGATAGTGCACGGTGGGCACGAGCTCAATCGAATCAAAGAACAAGCGTGAACTAATATGACGCAACTATTGGCGTCAGTCGATTGTCTCGGTAATGCTGTCCAGCGACCCTTCAATGGACAATGTGCAATGGCGTTCTAGCAGTCATAGCGATTCCGTTGCATACCCAACCCCAAATCTGAAATGTCGTCTTGCGTTTACGTTCGCATGACGTTCGCACTTTGTTCGCATGACGTTCACATGACATTCACATGACTTTCGCATGACGTTCGCATGACATTCACATGACGTTCGCGTTAGTACACACCGACTCACTTTCTCTCACTCTCCCTATCTCATTTTCTCTCTCTCCCTCACTCTCTCTCTCTCTCCCTCACACACACTCTCTCTCTCTCCGTTCTTATTTTGTATTGGTATTTCCTTCTACACAAATATATGTAGATTCACGTATGCACACGCAACGCGTAGTATTGCTTGCGAGTATGGGGCCAAGGGTGTCCCTGGTCGTATGACTTGATGTACATTCTCTTAAAATCATTATTTTACCAAAAATTCTTGTCATTGATTAGTCTCTCAAAACGTGTCTTTTCTTTTCAGACTGTGTGTGTCATCGTCTCCATCCTGACCCTGACTGCCATTTCTATAGAACGATGGTTTGCCATTTGCCATCCTTTGTCTTTCAAGGAAACGAAAACACGAGTGATCATGGCGCTTATTTCCATCTGGGTGACAGCGCAACTTGCCGCAATACCCAGACTGTTTATAATGACGGAGAATAACGACCCGATGATACCCCGCAATCTAACCGTGCTGCTTACATCGTGTTCTCCTGTAGCTGCCATGAAAACATTTGCCTTTCACTACGAACTTTTTGTGTTTGCAACTTTCTACATTCTCCCTATCATCGCTATGGGATATACATATGCTAAAATCGCCTTGTGTTTGTGGTCAAGCATGAAAGCTGGGCAGCTGACTGGTAAGTTTCGTTGCGAGGAGGGAAGGGTGGTCACTGTAAGCTACTATTCAGTGCTTCAAGAAAGGTCATCGAGTGTTCACCCTTCAACAGTAGTGCATTATGAAAACTCGTAGTTAATCACGACATATCATGAGATAATTTTTGGATTTGAAGCTTTCACGATATACGGCTTTTCAATTGGACGGCACAATTTGACGTTCATACGTTTTTCACGAGAACGTGTTTTCACGACCCACCCTAGTGAACAAAATGAAGGAATCCACATACAAATTTTAATAATCGTAGTATCGACTCGACCCGTGTCTAGGCTGACAGTGATAACTAACAGCAATCTATGAATTTACCTTTGTGTCTATTTGACACGTCGCAAGCTCCGACGTTCATACAGTTTGGCCTTCACTCTATGAAGGTTCATACTCCAATGAACTCACACAAAGTGAAAGTCAATTCTAAAATATAATTGTATGAAAATTTGCTGTGTCGTCAGCATATTTAGGGTGATCGTAAAAAATCACTCTTATTTAGTCTCATTTTCAGAAACTGCATACAAAGCCAATATTACCCGTGTGCGTTTCCGTATCATGAATATCATGTATAAAATTGTAGTTTGCTAGTCTTTTGTTATTTCGAATATATGATTTAAAGGTACGGAAACACATGAGGATAATAATACCTGTATCATATAACATTATTCAAATAAGACGTAATTTCTCTCAGTGAAGAAGCTTTAGAACCGCGTTATATAGTGCCAAATGACATGTAGCCATCGTTCTTGCCATGTTTCGGCGACACATTGAAAAACCCCTATTCTAAATATACTGGAAACGATAATCAATAATGATAGTTTATTGAGAAAGAAGGCATCGCATCGCTTGAAAATACGTCCTGTCATGTTTATCGGATTATCGCATCGATAAGACATTCTAGCATTTATATGATAAACATGATAATACGTCGTGTGACATTTCTTCTTTGCTGACAAAACACGAGCTGGGATTCGAACACGCGAACAGCGAATCTTGCCGCGGCTGCCTCTGCACACGACTTGTATGGCTTCAGGCCAAAATTGTCGTGTAGGCTGCTAGCGCAGCTGTGTGAGGTTCTGTTAACACTGACAGGATTTCATAATAAAGTCTCGAGTACCCACTAGACGGAACGCGGTTCTCCTACTGGTCTCAAGTGGAGTTAAGTGCTCGCAGTCGAATACATACAGAATTAAATTAGAGTTGTTTGAACATATTATGCAATGAACTACCTCTGCATTCGACACATGTAGACATCACCGACTACACCAACATATGTGTTCTCGCTCAATTTGTTCCGAGGACTTACCAACGATGATCAAAACACCGAATCAGGTGATTTCAGTAGTCATTACCTCTAACCTACACACAGTCTTTGACTCGACACGTCACAGGTCCAAGCTTGGTGCGGACGGAACATGCACATTGTGTAGCAGCGTCTGACATTTCTGGAATGCCTGGAGTGTTTGGATTACTCTTCTCTAATTTTGTGGGCTGAGTATGCCATTGTCCTTCAAAGACAAAGAGATTCTCACTGATGTCACTTCTTACAACGTCATTACCTTATTTGAGACGTCATATACTTGTTTGATGGTTTTTTGCCTGAGGATGAAGCTAGATTCTGGACGAGAGCATCTCCAGTGTCATCATCATTTTGAAAAAAGGCAAACACGCTTTGAAGTTCTATACATGGTCTTCAAAGCATGTGTCGACATTGATTTAAACATTCAATTATAATCCATGCCTATAAACGCTGAAAATACAAACAAGAATGTTGACCTTTGTCAAATTGTAAGAACTTTGAAGAGTATATGCATATGCTGCAGAACGAGTTTTCAATGCTTTTTGAAAACTGTTTATTTTGTGCCGGTATTTAACTCAAGTAGTCAGTGTCAAAATATATGGTAGTGGGTGATCATGAAAAGAGAATATTTTAGAGAAAACCAATTAAAACGACAGCCACATTTTAACATACAATACATAACTTCTCTTTCGAGTATATATGTTCCATAGAAACATATCTCATTTCAAGATTTTTTACATCATATTACACCTACTAGGCTAATTCAAATTTAACGAGAATTAACAAACAGTTATTTGACAGCATTGCGTTAAGTAAGTGAGGGATCGATAAACTGTGGCTGTTCTATTCATCAGCTAGCATGTAGCTGTTGGCGTCATTAGAAGGAGTTTAAAGTTAGTATGAACATATATCATCGCTTCAGCTCCCGTTATTTTTTTCAGAGGGTTCCCAAAACGCCGTCGCGTCGCAAGTGCGTGCCCGTCGTCGCATTGCAAAGATGTTGATTGTCGTGGTCGTTGTGTTCATCCTGTGTTTCCTGCCTGTGTACACCTGGAATATAATCAGGTTGAGTGTTGCTATTAATCCAATGATGGATTTTACAAATGAGCTTGAATTTCACAGATGAACATTACTGCTGGGACGTGAGATTGTTATACTTTATCCTAGACCAACTAAGCACATCCTGAACCCGTGAAGATCCGGATAAGAATAGGTAATAAACAACCCATGCTTGCCGTAAAAGGCGACTAACGGGATCGGGTGGTTGATGCATGCCATGGCATCCCAATTCCGTGGATTGATGCTTATAATATCAATCACTGGATTATCTGGTCCAGACTCGATTATTCAAAGACCGCCGGCATAGTGCTAAGTGCGGCGTTAAACAACAAACAAACAAACAAACTAACAGTACATCCTGATCACCTGTATGAAGGTAACTCTTAAACCCCATCGACCGCCTTCGTGGTCTTGTAGAGCGTCAGCCCGGAGAGCGGAAGGTCCGGGGTTCGATCCCCGGCCGCGTCATACCAAAAGACGTTACAAAGATGGTATTTGTTGTTACCCTGTCTGGCGCTCGGCATTAGGGGCTAAAGCAAGGACTGGTCGGCTCGGAGTCAGTATACTGTGTCTGAGTGGGGTATTCATGTTAAACTGCGGCATGGTATCTCAGTGTGCTAGCACTTTAAATCGACATCAGTCCGGACTAGTACAAGCAGCCACACACATACACGTGCATGCACGTCGCTATATAGGTGCAATAATCTTGGACGCGACGTCAAACCCAATTTCACCTCGCCTTAAACACCATCAAGCTAATACACTCCACTGTACTGTTTCAGGATGTCCATACATGACATGGATTACTATATCGGCCCTACTACTATATCTATACTGACTCTGACCGGACACTGGCTCGTCTATTTCAACAGTGCCATTAACCCTATGATCTACAACTTCATGAGCGGTAAGCGTTACTCAATAAGTTGCTTTGTATTGCCTGTTATTTCGTTGTTTTGTCTTCTAATTCCTATGACATAAAACTGAATTTCTTTTAGATCATACTGGAATCTATGAGTGAGTGAGTCAGTTGGGTTTAACGCCGCTTTTAACAGTATTCCAGTTACATCACGACGTGTCAGCTTAATGTGAAACCCACGAGCACGGGTATAGTGCTGACAAACATAGAAGCATAATTGAGGCGAACCGTGATTCGAACCCACAATCATAGGTTTCTGGCGTGCCCAAGGGACGCAACTCTGCACAGCGAATCGCGGCGCCTTAGACGACTGGGCCACCCGTGACCCCCCTGGAATCTATGAACGTGACTAACACCAGGTATCATCACCAATTGATGTTTATAAATATACAAAGTCAACGCCAGAGATTAGGCAGTCTCGATTATCCGACGAAACAGATTCCATTGGACACCAGGAACTCGCGAAAAGGGTATCGAAGTCCTGTCCTACCGGTAACACCTGCATAAAATAAATGTGTTTGTTCCTGGTCGACACACAGCAGTACTCCTGCCATACATAAACAGATGCTTATGATAAAGTCGGAATCAGCAGTTATGGAAATACCACACGCTCATAAACAATGTACTTTCTAAGCAATTTCGATGACACTTCGTTGAAGCGAACCCCTTTAACTCTATCTATCGCTGAAATTATGTAACATTCAATCAGGAATCCTTGCGCTAGGTCTGCTCTCCAGTTTAAAACTAAGGGTCATCCATAGTTCGAATCCTCGTTCACCCCGATTATGTTTTAAGGTTTGTTAGCACATTACCCGTGCTCGTGGCTTTCACCAAGTTGTAAATGTGAGACCTGCATCACTTCGGTTTTCCTCCCATATTAAGCTGACACGCCGTTATACAACTGGAACGCGGTTAAAAGCGACGTTAAACCCACTGTCACTCACTCAAAGAACTCTTGTTTCACTGTAGCTGGGGCGGTGGGGTAGCCTAGTAGTAAGCGTTCGCTCGTCACGCCGAAGACCAGGGTTCGATTCCCCGCATTGGTACAATGTGTTAAAAACCCATTTCTGGTGTCCCCCGGCGTGATATCGCTGGAATATTGCTACAAGCGGCGTAAAACAATACTCACTCACTCACTGAAGCTTGTTATATTTCAGGCAAGTTCCGGAAAGAGTTCCGTACTGCATGTTCCTGCTGGATTACCACGTGTGCAAGAAGGGGCAAAAGTTCGTACACCAACCGTGAGTCCTCCGTTTGACCGGAAGTGGACAGGAACTTCTGGCAGCCATCTTTATCGAACGGAAACGGCGAATTTCATTATATCTAAAAACCATTCCAAATTGTGTGTTTGCAAATATTTCAATACATCGTCAAACACGGAGGTTTCAAGATGGTTTATCGACTCACTTCACCGACTTTGCAGTCGCTGCTGATGTTATTAGAACTTTGTGATCATATTACGTGTCACAAGATGGTGCTGGGGATGAGGGTGTTAGATTACACAATAAGCCCAAATGTTATCTCACAACTTGTATTCCACGTTTTCAATAATTATATCAAATTATATTTATCAACTCAGATAATGTATGTAAGAAGCTACCGGTTTGTAGAAAATACTTCAGAAACATATCAAATGTAACCAAAACAAGTATGAGTCGATGACGCTTAAAACGACGTTTCAATTGCAAGGAACATTCCTGTATTTAATATTCCATACGCCTGATGCATGATAGCTTTTTTACCTGAGTATGACTCCAACAGACTTGATTTGAGGTTTGCTTTGTCAGGTTTTTGGCAGTGAGAAATAAACCGTTTATTACAGCAGTCAAAATGTTTCGATATTATAACTAACTCAGATTGAAATGCTTTTTGATTATATTTGTAGAATACCCTGGTGTAACGGTACATCAAATTATTGACGCATTGCGGTTGTCTATGGGCCGATGGTGATATATCAGTGACATGTAGAAATATTAAAAGTGGCTCTCGATGGAAACAAACATAATTAACAAACATATTTGTAACCTTTACTTTACTTAGCCTCCAGAAGACATTACTATCCCTTAAATCTTCATCAAGCTCCCATCTCGTCAAATACAGCATTAGGTATTGTTTAAAAGTAATCATGGGTAGTTGTGTCACATGTCAAATCATTCTATTCTTCTTCAGTGACACAGGTAGGCTAACACTTGACCTGAGCTTTTGAAAATCACTGTTTTAACAGTATAAAATTATTATTGTGTTATTGTATAATAGTATAAAAACAATCAACCATTCTCCCTATACTTTGCAACTGGTGCTATCCCCCTTATTCTCATATATAAAGGCATTAGACACACACACACACACACACACACACACCACACACACACGTACACGCACGCACACACACACACACACACACACACACACACACACACACACACACACACACACAAAAACACACACAAAAACACATGCACACTATTAAAATATATAAGCCCTACCTTGAGACTTTGGAAGCAGTTGCAACTGGCTTCATGTCAAGAAAATTGTATCTCTTCTGAAATATCTTTTAACAGATTTACAATCCGTCCACTGAACCATGATGCTTAAAACACACTTTTTCCTTATATGAACGACATGAACTAAGGTCAATTTGATTTTACATGTTTCTTCGAATACTCTTTACAACTGAGAATTGAGGCCTACAGAATCCTGTGATTTGACGATTTTTACAAAATGTGCCTTTTTAAGTTGTTTTAATTTCGTTCCTAGCTCAGAAATTGATGCAAATATTTCGTATTGAAATAATACAACCAACATCAAGTTATGAATATATTTTTCAGACGAACTGGAACCATTATCCTCAAAGAGGTACGTAGCCAGTTTCCGTGTGTTTCTAATAAATATTGTAACCTCTCTTCTTGAAACAAAAAAAGGATAAGAGTTTAGGTTATTAAATATGTGGACGTTGGCATGATAACATGTTTCTCAGAATCGTTGTCAGTAGTCTCACTCAAAACATTAATTATTACTAATATATCCCAGTAGCTCCGGGGCCCCTATCAAAAGCAAACCAGATATTAATGAATCCTAGTTGATCTAGAAATAGCCCAACCTGATACTGACCATACACGGCCTTCGGTCTGTCTGTGATATCCCAATGATTATGATTATGAATATGATTATTATTATATAAATGCTGACTTGTGGTACATGCAGTTTCATGGCGTACTGTCTGTAGTTTGTTAAAGTTATCAAAGACTTTTTGCCTACTAGATTTCACCTGAGGTAAGCAAAAACAGATGACCCGTTTCATTAGCTTACCATTCAAATTGAAACAAATAGATAGAGTAGTGCTAGTAGCTGCCTAGAAATAAACATTTCTGTTTACATGGTACCTTCCTTGTTGTTTGGAGTGTAAATGTGTTCACGGGCAGTGACGTAAATCGTGTCTAGCATTCGATGACTTTGACGTGTAATGCTGGCTCATTCAAGAGGAAATTTCGAAATTTCATCTCGTTTTGCTCTTAATGTGCAAACATCTCTCCAGAGCATGTTCAAGACGCTGCGTTTGTTTGGTTGATGTTTACTGTTGTCCTTTGTTTAAGTGAATAATTTGTTACGGCATCACATGTACATATGGTTGACGATTTCGAATAAACGAATCCAAGTAATTTTCCGTTGTGTTTTGAAGGGTGTTACATTTCATTTCTGATATTGTGTTCTGCATTTCGTGTATGTGCATACATTCATATCCCCACAAGTCGTTCATTAGTTGGTACATATATTCACAAGGTGATATGGTATCATATAAAATATGTAAGGGCAATGCAAAATCATCCCGGAAAAATACACATATTACTATCCCAATGGAGTTTGATAACATCTAAACGACAGCATCTTACCCTGGCTCTTTATAAAAGGGATAACAATTCCGAAGACCAGCCTCATTTGGGGAATTTTTCTGGATGAAACTGACACTCTGTGATGTAATAAAACGTTGTTCAAAGCAACGATAAACCAAACTCACTTGGTAGGGTAGGGTAGGGTAGGGTAGGGTAGGGTAGGGTAGGGTAGGGTAGGGTAAAGGGTAGACACAAAGACATGGATGAGCACAGATATTGTATCTACTGCATGTGCATTGCACTATGCTCTCAAGGTATAGAATTCCTGCTTTGCGCAGTTGTATGATGTTGTTTTACATGTTGTTGGATTTAATGACATATTTCATCTGGAAGGGACGTTAGGCCATCCTTCTCTTGTTCTCTCATGCTATTCCTATCTTAAAGTTGTGTGTGTCTTCTCCTGTCATGTACATTGTGATTGTGGAATGCTCTGTCTTCTCTCCTTGTATATCACTGGCATGGCCAAGTCTCGCTATGCATCTTAATGTTTTGGCTTGTGTCGTGAGAAACAGCATGCCAAATCTGGTGTTATAATCTACAGTTTCGTTTGGTTTAATCAAGACATCCTTGATTACTATTTGACTTACTTGCTTATTATATATATGCCCCATTTATGGCATATAGAATTATTTTTTTTAAGTGAATATATGTTTCGTTTTAACAAGTAACACCATACTAATAAAATCACTGTAGACGATACCTTTTGCAATAAAGCTTCCACGAAACAAATACTTGATGTGACACACTTACTAAAAGGAAAGCAAATCACAATACATTATAGTCCATACAGTATATGTTTTCAAAGCTGATTGTACTAAACGGCAAAACTATAGCGCTTGATGTGTTTGTCTGGTATTCGATAGCATCATGTGTTACTTTCAGCGGTCAACGATACAGAGTGGGAGAGTATGACTCATCGGATGTCAGTCGCGTAAAGACATCAGTCACAGAAGCCTGATACCTTCAGTCGGGAGTACAGGACAACCACAGACGGAACCGTGTGGTCCTCCAGCCTAACGCACGACCGTTCCGGTAATATACTTGGTGTAAACAGGAAGATACAATGCTGAAGTGTGTTTCGAGGATAATTGAAGTATCGTTTTCCATAAGGAGAGAACATGATGCACTTGTGACAAACGTAAAGAAGGTTCTCATTAAAAGTCCAGTTTGTGATCGAACTGTCGTCCACACACCCATAAAACAATTGACGTTGCTCAATGTACATTTTACCCTGTCGACTGAAATGCGTACGGCCATAGGTTCATTAAGGAAGTGCCTGTATCTTTCTGAAACAGAGAATTACCGGTCGATGGAACCAGTAAAGAAGAGGCCTATACTTGAATCCGCGAACGAACAGGAATGTGTGACAAAGGTACATTATCAATTCACTATATCATAACATTGTATCTGTAGTGATAAGTGAGCATGCCCTAAGAACGATATTTTGACAGTGCTACTGGTCCGACTGACGAACTAGGCAGATATTTCTTAAATACGCGATACGACAGGGATGGTGTTCGAGATAATATAATCAAAAATCCAATTTTCTGCACCTGGTGAGCCCTTCATCTTGCTTTGATGTGATGCTACATAGCTGCATCTTCACGTGTATATTGAACATATAAACAAAACTGTAACCCACTTTTCGTTATTGTATATATGGATTATGATTGTGTGAAAACCTGCTGCACTAATACATGGGCTACTCATATAAACTACTGACGGAATATAAAAACCCCTCAAAAGTAACTATCATATACAAAGATAAAGAGAGGCAAAGTGAAGCGTTTTATGTGCATGGGATCAACAAGAATGCTACACAATTCTAGCGTCCTTCACACTGCTGTAACTCATATTCAAAGAGGGATGAATATAGCCAGACAATTCGCTTCGACAAACAAAAATTACCAGGGAGAGTTACAAACAAACAAAAACTTAAGAAACAAATAAGATATTTCGAGGGGGTCATTCGCCAAGCAAAATTCTAGGGCACTGTTAAGTAGAAGAAATTAGAGGACGTTTGAATTGTGTGCTTCTAAAAATATTATATTAAAGGTATGTCACATTTGTCTTTGCCTCTATATTGGTGTTCCTGTCAAGAGGATTAATGTGAAGTGGAACGATTTACATGTAAAATGAACAAACGTACGCGTCATTTGGTTCGTTAATCATTGTAATCTATAATGCACTCCAATTAATGAAGTGGGGTGGTCGGGGAGCCTAGTGGTTAAAGCGTTCGCTCGTCACGCCGAAGATCAGGGTTCGATTCCCGACATGAGCACAATGTGTAAAGCCCATTTCTGGTGTGCCCCGCCGTGATATTGCTGGAATATTGCTAAAAGCGGCGTAAAACAATACTCATTCACTTAATTACTAAAGTTTCTATGTTTGACGTCATTACATGATAATCACATCGTTTTGCTATAGAACTATATATCCTGCACAACACGTGCAAGCAATACACAACAGGACCATGCTTCAGTGTGTATAATAATACCGCCATATATATATGTTGGTAATGAATAACAATCATTGTTGTCTTGTGACGTCACGGTTTGCTTTCGTACATCGGTTAATGACCAGTGTTTTTCTGCAGGTCGCTAAATATGACATTTACAGAGACACTAATTATGTACATATGTTGATAATTTTACAGGTGTGGGACATTCGTAAAAGTCTGAACCATGAACTTCAAACGATTTATAGATATTGGTATGTACAAAATGGAAACGTATTAATGTTTTGTTGTTAAAGGTTTACCTGTCTGAACTTCAACGCTGTTTGCTAGCTTTTGTAAGCGCATTGAGTCATGTTGACAATTAAATCCAAGCTATTTTATCGTTCAAATGTATTTTTCTTGGATATATACGCGTTCAGTGAAATGTGACAGTTTCGTTTGAATGTAACCGTGCGATATATTTATTAAACCGTTTATGAAAACTGTGTTTTGTTATGTCTATACAAATATATGAAGCAAGTAGCATCCCATACACCATGGATTGGTGGAACCAACAGGTATTGAGCTTCTTACCACAGTCTCCAATGATTGTTGTATTGCATACTATGAAGTAAGTCACAATATCGGTTGTACCGTGAAGATCCGGGGTAGAATATGTCTTCAGCAACCCATGTTTGCCGTAAAGGACGACTATGCTTGTCATAAGAGGCGACTAACGGGATCAGGTGGTCAAGTGACGGCTGTAGATAATCGAGTCTTGACCAGACATTCCAGTGATTGATATCATGAGCATCGATCAACGGAAATGGGTGAGGTGAAATGGGGTTTTATTGCACTTATATAGCGACGTACATGCACGTGTATGTATGTGTGTGGCTTGCTTACTGAGATGCCATGCCGCAGATTAACATGAATACCCCACTCAGACACAGTATACTGACTCCGAGCCGACCAATCCTTGTTTAAGCCCCTTAATGCCGAGCGCCAGACAGGGTAACAACAAGTACCATCTGTTAACGTCTTTTGGTATGACGCGGTCGGGGATCGAACCCCGGACCTTCCGCTCTCTCTCCGCGCTGACGCTCTACCACTACACCACGGAGGCGGTTCAGTCTCCAATGATTGTTGTATTGCATACTATGAAGTAAGTCACAATATCGGTTGCACCGGGAGGATCCGGGGTAGAATAGGTCTTCAGCAACCCATACTTGCCGTAAAAGGCAACTATGCTTGTCATAATTAAGAGGCGAATAACGGGATCGGGGGGTCAAGTTCGCTGACTTGGTTAATGCATGTCATCAATCCCATTTCCGTGGATCGATGCTCATGACATCAATCACTGGAATGTCTGGTGCAGACTCGATTATCTACAGACCGCCGTCACAGCTGGAATATTGCTGAGTGCGGCGTTAAACAACAAAACAAAACACAATATCGGTTGACACCTCATGTAATAATATCTTAAACTATCAATTTCTCTTATCGTGTGTTGTAATTGTAGATACTTGTAACCTTATTTCATGTCGTGTGGTTTCTGTATTTAAATGAATGTATTTTAAGTGATAGTGATTGGATATCATTGTATTCTGACAGATACAAGCAGGTTAATTTAGTGATTACCACTTCATCAGAGAATTGATGACATTTTACCTAAAAGGGCCAGTCAACTATTCTGAGTGAGTGAGTGAGTTGGGTTTAACGCCGCTTTTAACAGTATTCCAGTTATATCACGACGTGTCAGCTTAATGTGGGAGGAAAGCCCGAAGTGATGCAGGTCTCAGACGTTTACCACTTCGGTGAAACCCACGAGCACGGGTATGGTGCTGACAAACCTAGAAACATAATCGGGGCGAACCGGGATTCGAACCCACAATCATAGGTTTTTTGGCGTGCCTAAGGGACGCACCTCTGCACAGCGAATCGCGGCGCCTTAGACGAATGGGCCACCCGTGCCCCCCAACTATTCTGAAGTTTGGTACCAAACTGGTCAACATCTAAACTACGTGTAGTAACTTGTTTGATAGGCATTACTTAAAAGTTGACGGGTGACAAGGTAGACTCGGTTTTATGGATAACAACTTCTTTAATACTGTAAAAAGCGACGTTTTTGTATGGATCCTTATTTCGTTGTCAAGCAGGTCTTGTAAATGCAGTAATTATGACCGGGGGGAGACCCGGGTGATGTTTTGCTTCAAAATAATTGCTAATTGCTTTCGATCTAATGTCGCCACAAGTTTAACATTTTTATAACTAATTAAAGTTTAAAAAATGCAAGCATGTCACTTGTCATAATCAACTTTTATTTTTTTTCTAAAGGATCCCCACATTTGACTCTTTTAGTATGGTAAAAAGTGCCCATATCATTTCCACCATTTTCTTGACATTATCAGCGTTCATACTGACTCCTTGTAGCAAACTGTGCACAGTGAACGATGACGAAGGGTATTATCACTGATATGGTTAAGATACAGGGGGTGAGATTCCTCACACGTATGTCGCACGAGGTTGACCTCGATATTAATTGAATAACCGTAACCGTAACGGGTGAGGTGAGGTGAGGTGAGGTGAGGTGAGGTGAGGTGAGGTGAGGTGAGATGGGGTTTAACGTCGCGTCCAAGATTATTGCACTTATATAGCGACGTGCATGTACGTGTGTGTGTTTGTGTGGCTGCTTGTACTAGTCCGGACTGATGCCGATTTATAGTGCTAGCCCACTGAGATACCATGCCGCATAAATACCCCACTCAGACACAACATACTGACTCCGAGCCGACCTGTCCTTGTTTTAGCCCTTTATGCCGAGCGCCAGACAGAGTACCAACAAGTACCATCTTTTAACGTGTTTTGGTATGACGCGGTCGGGGATCGAACCCCGGACCTTCCGCTCTCCGGGCGGACGCTCTACCACTAGACCACGGAGGCGGTCCATAACCGTAACACTGGAACTACCTTTTTCATTTTTAAGTCACGAGACGTCGTCCCCTTTACAAACCTTTTACTATTACGAGACAGAACTGAGGAATCTCATGAAAACGAGAGACATTTACAAACACTTTTTGAAGCAAGACAAGATAGTCACACGCATCAAATTCGCTTTGCATTCTATGTTAGTTATACATAGAGCTGCTACACACATTATATATTTTCCAGGATCGCCTCCGTGGTCCAGTGGTAGAGCGTCCATCCGGAGAGTGGAAGATCCGGGGTTTGATCCCCGGCCGGGTCATACCAAAATACCTTAAACGATGGTACTTGTTGTTACCCTGTCTGGCGCTCGGCATTAAGGAGTTAAAACAAGGACTGGTCGGCTCGGATACAGTATACTGTGTCCGAGTGGGGTATTCATGCTAAGCTGCGGGATGGTATCTCCGTTGGCTACCACTGTAAATCGGCATTAGTTCGGACGAGTACAAGAAGCCACACACCCACACACGTGATTGCACATCGCTAAATAAGAGCAATAATTTTGCACGCGACGTTAAACTCCTTTTCACCTCACCTCTTTTTTCCATGTACGATATGTTTCCTTCTCCCAAAATGGTACGGACAGAATATAAATTCAGCTGAAAGATCAAGGAACCAAACCGTTTTGATTTGCCACGCCGGGATTCTGGCGGTGCGAGTGACCGACTGGTGGTCCGAGAATGAAAGCTTGGTGCTATCTGATTTTTTAAGTTTCCTTACAGTTGCCCTGCTTACTAACAACAAAGCGCTTGAATTACCATCCGTTGAAGAAATTTCATAAATAAAGATCTTGAGCGTTGCTGCTGTTGAGCGTTGGGCAAACACAACGGCAGGAACATTTTGTTAATGCGTATGCATAGAAATGTCAACAATGCTCAACAATGCGAAACCAGATTTGCAACCGGTTTCGATTTGGTCCATTAACGAATGAAAGTTGTTATATTTACACTTAAATACACGTTTAACGCGGTTTATAAATACAATACCACACTCATTCTCATTTGATGCCGGTTTTACGAAACTCGTGATACCTTAAAAAGTCCACTCGTTTCGTAAAAGTGGTATCTAACCAGAGTATGTGAAGTATTCGGTATTTATTACTTGCCCGTGAAGAAATACAGCTGTATTACACATTGTGTAATACCAAAACGCGTGCTTATGTACTCTCGGAACACGTTTCACGAACAAATATTGAAAGCTCTCAACATCCCTTGGCTTATTCAATGACATTGCGTGTGGCGTTGATAGATCACTGAGAGGAGCTTATGCACACTCGATGACCTCAGCAACATTGTTTCGCCGATGGATCTTGCAACAAAATTCCACAAATTTCGTCATCGAGTATTGTGACGTTATTGTAAACTTTGAGGTGCAAGGCCCGTTCCACAAGGCGATCGTATTGTAGCGAAACGACAGTCGTTAGTCTAAGTTAAAGTATGTGAGTTGCGATAGTCTTAGCCCTACGATAATTATGTGAATTCTATAGGTGGACCGTTGTATGGTATTAAATGCATAGGTTTCAACTTTTGACGTGTTTGAAGTATTATTCTGTTAAACTCAATTGGATTATGCCGTGGATCGTGTAGATGTCAGCCTATTCATACTCAAAAGTATAATTCAAAAAACGTTTTAAATGGCAAGTAATAAATAAAATACGAAACTCGCTCCCGTGTAAAACCAATTTTATGAAACTCGTGAATATATATAATACATGGTCATATCTAAATATCCTTATCTCAAAGACTGGAAGGTCATGTCGTTACAAGGTCCTGAACGCTTATAGAATTGAACATTTATTTCTGGCATGGTTATATTACCAAGAAATGCTTTCCGAACGAAGGGAAATGAGATAGGCCTCTAGGGTTGATTTTGGCTCCACCAATGCTCTAATATGACCATCAAATACCATTTGATCAATTATTGCTAAAATCCGCCTCGCGTACATTGTGACGCACTCCAGTCGTGTAACCAGTAGTACGTCAAGGTTGGCCCGTGTACCGACGCTGTGTGTCTTCACTCTGTGTGATGGAAAACGAACACTCCTCTGTAATTTAAGAGGATTAGCACTTGGCACCAGAAGCCTTAGACCTATCAAGGTGTGTTCCAGTAGAAAAAAATCGATTTCCGCGCAAGTCTAAAACTCACCAGGCGAAGCCCACGGCTGTAACGATGCATGCCTTGCGTGTTTGCTTTTATCCCAAATAATACCACGATGTCATTTGGAAATTTACTCTTACCAAAATCAATGGTGTTAAGAATTGGACGTCTTACGAAGTGAAACTAACAGATATAAGCAAATATTTTAATCACTGAGTATAAAGCACTGTGAGATACGACGAGAATGCAGTATCAAGCCCCAAGACGCTCAGTTTAGTGGTGAGATGAGATTAAATGTGCAATGTTGAAATACGAGTGAGTGAGATGCGTATATAAAGTAAAAGGGCAATGACTTTCACAAATATGTGATGATTCCTATCTCAGGCAGCAATGCAACAACTTTATGAGGGCGATCTTTACA